CATTCCCATTTTAGCTTATATACCAAAAATTTTCTTTTTTTTTTTTTTTTTAATCACTTCTTTTTGGTACAAAAATTTTTTTGCACTTATGTCCAGCAACTTAGCTTAATTGGTTTATATGTCCATAGAAGATAAATCTGACATTGTAAATTTGATCTTGTTTTAATTTTCTTAACTGGAGAATCAGCCAAGAAGAATCTAGTAATTTTTTTCATATTTAGTTTTGCATTAATTTATTTTATTAATATTTTTTTAATCACTTTTTAAATTTATTGATTAATTTATAACTTTGAATTTAAAACACTGGTAATATTAATGAAGTTCATTAATAATATAATAAAATTTACTGTTGCAAATTAAGAAAAAAAGTTCATCTAAATTTTTATTAATCACATTAAATTTTTACTAATCCCTAAAGAATAATACATTTTAAAAAGACCATTTTAATATTTTTAAATCCGCAAAAAATGTTTTTTTTTTAATGACTTTTATGAGCGAGTATTTTTTTAATGGAAACAATTTAAAATATGATGTTAAAATTAAATGTTTATAATTTAAAAATAAACTATATTCATTAAATAATAATGCAAAGGGAGAAAAAAAAAACTATATATATATATATATTAGCGCTCGAAATAATTATTTAGAGGTTGCCGATCAACACTGATCAGCTGAAATGATAAGAATTAATAAGTAGACGATCAAATAATTTAAGGATGATCAAATTTTTTTATAGTTTGTTTCAAATTTTTATAATTGTAGTAATTTTTGCTTCACACTTTTAATGTTTGTGCTTGATAGCACTGCTTATTCCGCAGAATTTCCACTTTGTTTAAATTCTGAAACAATAAAAAAATAAAAATAAAAATTTATACTGGACCTTGTTTTAAAGTGTCATGTTATCAATACCAACAAGCCTTTTAAACAATATTTTTTAAGTGTTTTGTTGTAATAAATGCACTTTGGCACGCCCTTATAAAAAAAAAAAGAAAAGCTGGACAGTTGTTTGGTCTAAGTATATAAAAGAGTTATGATAAGTCGTAATTTTATCAGATATTTATCAATATCTTGTCCATTTATGATTATTTTTTTATATTTATATTACAATATATTTTCGTTATATTTATAATATAAATATTTTTATTATATCTATAATATAAAATATATTTTTTACATTCATTTAGTTGAAACTTTATAGCTTAAACTGAACGACTGTTTGCAGCATTGTTTAGTAAAAACATTAAAAATTGGCAAAAAAACACAAAAATTAGATTAGAGTTATCATTCATTCAAAGCCTTTAAAACTCCAAGTTTATTTGAAATGGAAAAAAACACTTAATTTAGATCAAAGTATCATTCATTCAAAGTTTAATTGCAAAAATGTTTCTTTCTCTCGTGTTCTACGCAATTAAAAAGCTATTCAAATATTAATGAAACTTTTTTCAGTTTTGGTTACCGAAAAGAAATGATAGAAGAAATATTAGGATGTTTTAAGAAAACATTTGTTGATCAAAACTTTAACGCAATAATATTTATTTGAAAAACAAATAAAATGTTTGTAATTGTAACTTTCTTTTGTAAACTTTTACTTTTTTCTTAGCGGGTGTTTCAGATCACGATTTCCTTTTATAAGAAATAATTTTCTGTCGCTTTTTTCCGCATCCATTTTATGATTATTTTTATACTTTTTATATAATTTTACTTCTAAAACTTATTTCCAAAAAATTAAAAAAAAAACAATTTTATTTTGTTAAAGCAATTTGATGTTATGATGTATAAATTATAAATATTTTATGAAGTAACCATTCTTTCTACCAATCCTAAACTCACATTATTTACTAATTTTCAAAAATTTTCATGTAAAACAGTTATGTTTCTAAATAATGATGCAAATTCATTAAAAAATTCATTCATTAAAAAAAACTCAATTCATTCAAAAATGTTCATTAACGGGTAAAAAACTTTTTATTTATATAAATTTTGTCATACCTTTCTAACCAAAGTTTTACTTTTAACGTTTTTGTGTCGATTTTTTTACTTTTGTCTTTTTAAGGTTTTTTGTGACGTTTATTTTAGAATGTTTTTATATTTTTTAATATAAAGTTTGACATGCAATTCTTGCCGATCAAATTTGATCGTCCAAAATTGATTTTGGAAGATCAAAATATCATTTTTTCTAAAAGTAGACAATCATTGATCATTGATTGGCCGCTATTTCGAGCGCTGACATATATATATATATATATATATATATATATATATATATATATATATATATATATATATATATATATATATATATATATATAATATATATATGTATATATATATATATATAACACAGCTGTTTCACTCAATGTAAAAGAGAGCCTAGCATCAAAAAGTATTTCAGTATAAAAAGTTTAAAACTTCACTAACTTTAAAATAATAGTAACTTTTTTCTTTAACTGCTTTCATCATCAAATAACAAAGTATGAAAGATCTCTCTTTTCTTGTTAAATAAGTATTTATATTAATTAAATAAATATTTATGATACCTAGTTTATTTAATTAATGTAAATATTTACATTAATTAAATAAATATTTACATTACATTTCTAGTTTTTGCACGTTTTACAGAAAACCTGATATGAATCAAATAAGATTTGATAACATATCTCTGTGCTTAATAGTTGACATTTGGAACACTTAGTCCGTTCTATCTGATTCAAATGTCATCCTCGTGATTTTTTTACAAAAAGTATTTTAATATTATTAAATTTATTGTTTTTAAATGAAAACATAATTTTTTTTTGATGGATGGCGTAAGCTATTGAAATTTGGGGCCATCCATAAAGTAAGTATGCAGGTATGGGGGGTTGTAGGTTTTCCAAAAGCGTACGAACGCGTACAAGAGGGAAGGGGTATTAAAGACAGTGTTTACCTATGCAGTATGACTATCATAAACATGTAATTATTTTTTTAAAAAAAAACATTGAATTTCACGTGTGTAACAAATCAGAATTGTTTTTTTTTTCTGACTTCAGTTACAATGTTTTTTTAAATTCTTTATAAATAATGAGAGAGAGAAAAATTGAGTTAATTTTGAAAAAAAAAAAATGTGCACGTATGTGAAGGGAAGGGGGGGGAGGTCTATGGATTAAGAAAAAAAGATTTATTTGTATAAAAACAAAACAAGATTTGTTGTTTTACAACAAATCTTGTTGATTTAAGGTGTACATTTTATTTGTTTTATTGCGATGATGTAACCTTAATGTATTACACCCCAAACTATTTATCAATAAATTTTGAAAAAGCAACTGTTTCGGCGAGTCAAATTTTGAAATATAAACTAAACAAAGTTACGCAGAATTTTTCTCTTTGGATTATCAAACTAATATCAGATAAGTTGTTAAATCCACCTCTTATCTAGTGTATATATTTGTTTATTAATATTATTTTATTTTATTTATTACTAAGTCAATTTTATTTTAATAAATATGTATTCAACTGGAAGGAAAATTTTGAAACAATACATTGGATGGAAAATGGTTGGGAAGTTAAATGTAACTTTCCTTTTATTAAGCCATTATTAAAGGTAAATAAGATCACTAACAGTGTTTACAATTACATTTCCATTTTAATGACTGTCTTTAAAATAACGGTTTATTTAGTTCAATGGCTTTTGCCTATTGAGTTTAATATGACTAGTAATGATGAGTTAAATAAAATGTGCCTAAAGTTAACAAGCCAAAAAAGGAAATATAAAAACAATTTTGTAGCTATAAAAAGTGAAAAAATCTTTAAAATGCAACTATCGCAAGCTCCATGCCAAAAAAAAAATCCAGATGACTTTTTCACTTTAAATAGGAGTCAGGAGCTACTGAGTCAAATTGATCATTTAACTTCTGAAAATAGAACAAATGTGGAGCAAATAGAGAAATTAAAATGCAGGTATCTAAGTTGGAAGCTGAAATTACAGATTTAAATTCCAAAGATAGAGCTCTAAACAACACATTGTAACACACAAGTTCTCAATTAGAGACTAATAGTATTAGGCTAAAATAGAAGGAGCAGTTCCAACTTATTTAAAAAAAAAAAGACTAAAAACAGCACAATGTAAGTTTGGATCTGCTTATACCAAAAATGAAAGATGTTAAAAAGGATTTTTAAATGCAAAAATCAGTGATATAAACCAGAACAGTTGTCAAATTCGCAAATGTTTTGTTAGCGGTTATACAGATTTTTTTTTATTCTTACTTAGACTATGACAGCATCAACATTCTCTTAAATATGATCACAACATCTTTTGAAGGTTTGGGATCCCTTCAGGCTCACTTGAAACACCCATGATAAATAAATAACAAAACAAAGAAAAAAAGGTGCCAAAAAGTTTTATTATATTTTAATAGCATTTCTTAGTATGCTTAATAAAGAAAGTAAATTATATATTAAAAAGTACTATTAAATATCTGGTTTTATATTCTATTTTAACATGATATTGTAGATATTAAATATTTTTTGCGTTTTGCCTTTTTCTTAAAATATGTAGCGGTTATACAGATTTTTTTTTATTCTTACTTAGACTATGACATAATGTCATAAAAACTTTGTTTTTATGATGTACTAGCATACATATTTTAAGATATTTGAGTGAATAAATTTTGCGACATTTTCTTAGTAATTAAAGGTTAACTTATTTTTGAATAAAAATTGTTAATATACCTGAAATTCAAAACATGGTGCTGAAATGATAGCATTTACTTATTTATAACTGCTTATCAGTAAAAAGGGTTTCAAGTCATTACCATCAGGCAATAATTAAAAAAAGTCATGATCATCAATTCTTTTTGATTGAGTTGTGCAAGTTTTATTACCAACTATGTACTAAGCAACTATGTACTGATTGTACAATTTTTATAATCAACTATGTACTAAGTACTGAGTTTATATTATAATCAACTATGTACTAAGCACTGATTAACTACATACTAAGCACTGATTTTGTTTGTGCTTTTTAGGTTCTAAAAGAAAAAAACACAAATATAAACCATACTCAGAGCAAACAAAATGACTTTGGAAAGGACATCAAGCAAGATGATTCTGTGAGGATTAGAAAACAAGATGATTCTGGGAGTATCAGAAAAAACGATTATTCTTTGAGGATCAGAAAAAATAATAATTCAGAGATCAGGCCATTGAGTTCTAAAAATGAAAGTAAGTTTTTCTTTCAACTATTTCAAAACATTTCACAAAAATAATAATAATTTGATAATATTTTAAATGTTGTATTTTAAAGTTTATTTTATTTACGGTTGATTGATTAGTTTTTTTAATGTATATATAAGTTGTTCTAGAAATATATGGATGGAAGTAATCTTAAAAAACTGATCCTTTTCATAAAATTTATAAGATGTATTTGAATCTTTAACAACAATGTTTTGCAAAATCCAAATTATTTTTAATTATAATTAGTGCAGTGTTTATATAATGATCCAATAGATAATTGGTATGGTGTTCATATAATGGTTCCAGTGATAATTAGTGCAGTGTTCATATAATGGTTCTATTAATGACTAGTGCAGTGTTCATATAATAGTTCAGTTCATAATTAGTGCAGTGTTTAATTTGTAATTAGTTAATTTGTTTAATTGATAATTTGTGCAGTGTTTAATTGATAATTAGCAGGGCTCGAATTAAGCTTGATTTGATTGATTTCACACCTTCGCGCTTAGTTTTTTTTTTAAAAAAATATTTTCGCTATTTGTTTGTTTTTTTGTTAATTTTTTTGTCTTTTCTAATTCAGCATTATTTTTTTTAGCCTTTCTTAAAAGTAATGTTTTTGTCGAAGTTTTTTACTAGGTATCATAAAAATTGTCACACTAAATTTATCTTTTGAATTTTATTCAACATAAAGCGCTTTTGAATTTGAAGCATAAACTAAATATAACTTAAATATACTTTTAAGTTATATTTAGTTTGATTTACTTTTTACTGATTAAAGTTCATCACAGTAAATTTACTTATAAACTAAATCAAAACAACCATTTAAGTTACTACAGTTACTCAACTATTTTATTTACTTAATATACTCAAAGACTTGCAAAAGTTAGCCAAAAAAATGTTTTTAATTATATCTTATATGTTGTTGACACATAATTTTACCTAAAAATTATTTTAATAAGTAATCTTGAATAGAAAATAAAAAATCAATACCATTTTTTATATATTTTCATTTTATTTAAAGCAATATCAAGATTAAATACTTTCTATAAATATTTCCATAAGTTGTTTTTTAGGAATTTTTTAAAAAAAGAAATCTATTTCAACAAAATAATTTTAGTCTTCTGAAATTCTCTTATTCAAATAATTTTTAATTGAAATATGAAACAAAACAAAAAAAGGAAAAATTTTAAAGAATTTTAACGCTCAATAATTATAAATTTAATTCAGCAGCTTCCTTAATACCCAGCATAGCAAGAATCGTTGCTGAAAGGTAATAGTGTATCTAGCTACACTAACAATATAAGATTTAGAACATAGTGGAAGTGAAGAAGAAAGTTTTATTTAAACCATAAACATTTTGAATAGTAAATTTTATTTTGTTTGTTGAAAATAATTTTAAAAGTAGAAACATTCTATTGCAAACATTAAACCAGTGATTGCCACAGTTAAAATAAAAATTAAGTTATAAAAAGTTTGAATTAAAATTAGTTAATTATTTTACTTCTGTTCAAAGAATTTTTCTTCTAAAAAAATAATTTAAGCATATTCTTAAACTTTTTTGCTTCGTATTCTTAAACTTAAGGATAATTTGATTTATTAAGTCAAATTTTTCACTTTTTATTGCAAACCAATTTGAATGAAAAAATTGAATGAAAACATCAACTTGAAAACCATTTGAATGAAAAACTTAATTATACTTAAATTTTTAATAGTAGGTTGAATCAAGAAACAATAAATTATAAAAAACGTGGTATCTAATGTTTTTTTGCTTTGATCGTGCTCCTTTAGTCTATAGATTTTAGTCTTGTATGGTCTATAAGCATGTTTTTTGTAAATATGAACTTTAAAGTTTTATGACAATAATGTTTTAATTTATTAATTAGAGCAGTTCTATTTATTTACTTAGTTTTATTTTAAATGCGTTTTATGTTATTAAGGTTATAAACTGTATAAAACTACGTCACAAAGTTGTTTTACATTAACACAAGCTTTTTATATTGTTAAAACAACTTTGCAGTTTGTTTACAATAACAATTAAATACTCTTTAAAAATAACACGTGTTTTATTGTTAGTGTGAATGTATTAACTAGTTTTCTATGACTGGTTTAAATATTGTAATGTTTGATTTTTACTCTAACTTTTATACTTGTTAAGTAAAAACAATTACTACAAGTAATATCTTAATAGTATTAAATATGTTACTTGCTCATTATATTATAACTGCAACTTGAACTTTAAATAATAACTTAAGCTGTAAATTATAAATGCTGGAATTAATGCATTTCATAAGAAAATATACCTAAGAGAAGCTTAATGAATCCTCCAAATGGTCCTGAAGAGCGCAAGATTGAAGATTTTTGGACAATAGTTAAAGGAGTTCTTCCTGCGACAGATGGAGTAACAAAAAATAAAAAGGACTTCCAAAAAATGTGGAATAATGCCATCAGTAAGGTGAAAAAAGAAAATCTGCAGAATGATGGCATCAACATGCTATAAAATTCTATCTCTTGCCAAACAGCCCATCAAGCCTCTCAAAAAGTTGAAACCCTAATTGATGTATTTAAAATATTTAAAAAACACATTTAAAAAATAAAAATTGAAATAAAAAACATTGTTGGTTTTAGAGAAATCTCAATTTAAAGTTGACTGAATTTTTCCGTGTCCACCCAATAATGTACAAAAGATGTAAAGATGGAGGGGGAGCAAAAAAATTTTTTTCACAATTAGATTTAATAATTATTTAATTTATTAGTTAAATGGTTTAGTTGATAATTTGTGCCAGTTATAGATAATTAGTGCTTACTTAAGATATGGCAATATTAAAGCAGCTTAACAGGTGTCTCTTGCTTTAAATAGTTGATTGCTTTAAATAAGTTAATTTTTAAGAACTCATCTAGGTTGAAGGTTTTTAAAAAATTATTTGAATTATCAGAATTATTTTTACGGTTGTTTGAACCTCAGTTGTTCTTATTTAAGGAAATTTTTGTATGTTTTTATTTATGCATTTTATAAATATATATAAATTTAGTTACATTGAAAAGCAAGTCTTGTTTTTACTACCATCAACATGTAATTATGTTGAATATCTACATAAGCAGCAAAATTTCTTAAAAATTTAAATTTTAATTAATTATCAAATTTGTGAACTTCATAAAACAAAACTTCAATAACCATAAATTCAATTTAGTTTCGTGATCTTTAATAAACAAAATTCAATTTAAAAAAATATGGAGTTTTAAAATGTATGCTACTTACTGATGGATTGTCCATTCTGAAGACTAAAACACAAGCTTTTTTGATACCAAACTTATAAAAGAATTTTTTTAATGTAGTTCGCTGTTTGTTTTCCTATCGTAACAAAGGTGATAGATATTCAACATAACTACATGTTGATGGTAGTAAAAACAAGACTTGCTTTTCAATGTAACTAAATTTATATATATTTATAAAATGCATAAATAAAAACATACAAAAATTTCCTTAAATAAGAACAACTGAGGTTCAAACAACTGTAAAAATAATTCTGATAATTCAAACTTGATTACAACAGATTCATTAAGGTATGACATATTTATACCATGGTAGCGACATATATGTCTTTTTGTTGAATCAACTTTTAACAGTTTTGATATTAGTTTTGATTAATAAGTATTCTTAAAAACCTGAATTGAATGGAAAAATAACCTGTAATCCACTTCAACCAAAATTTTGTTATGTGCAATTTAATTTGCTATATTGCAAGACACATATGGATTGCTTTGATGTGCTACTTTTAATGACTATGCATATTAGCTTCTTTTTTTATTCACACACTTATGTGAGAGAGAGAGATTGGTTGAGATTAATGGGTTGAATGTTTTGTTTTTGGTCATATTAAAATTTTTTTAAATTTTATACCATAAATATAAAATATAAATTTTATAGCAAAAGTTAAACTTTTTTAAATAAATTTTTTTATAATAAAATATATTAAAAATCTTTATAAAATAAGTTTTATCTTTATTTAATTATTTATATTTGGATATATTATTTATTTTTTTATACTTTCTTTTTTTTTAAAAAAAAAAATAAAAAATCATGGGCTTTATTTGAAGGCTATGATTGTGATTGTCTTAATTTTCATTATTTGATTGTGCAGCAAGCACTTATTTGATTAAAAAATTTTTTAGTTGTCAGCTTTATTGATCAAAATGTTGGTCCCAGCAATTAATTCATAAAAATTTAAATGTTTTTTTTTTTTAAAAAAACATTTATGCAATTTTGTTGATAAAATTTAGATTCAATAAAATTTTTAGGAGCAAAATAAACTTTTCATTACTTGATACTTTTCACAGTCAATTGTATATTAATATAATATTTATATTAATTAGTTTTACATGTTTTTATATTAATTAGTTATATATTGTTTATATTAATTTGTTTTACATATTTTTTTTTTTAATAGATACAAAGATTAGTAAAGAGTCATCTTGCAGAAACAATGCTAAAGTTTCTTCTAAAAATAATCAACCTTTGAATAATAGGGGAAAATCCTTAAAGCAAAACTTAGCAGATGATAAAAAAATGAAATCCTCAATGCAAAATCATACACTGTCAGATGATAAAAAAATGAAATCCTCAATGCAAAACCATACACTGTCAGATGATAAAAAAATGAAATCCTCAATGCAAAATCATACACTATCAAATGATAAAAAAGTAGTGGATAAACAAAATGTTTTATCTGAACTATTTGGATCAGAATCTATGATAGAAAAACTTAATGAGTTTAGTTTTGAAGAAATACAGAAGAATGTTTGTACGAATTCTGAAACTTTTATTGTTGGCTCATTTTCTTTTGAACCTCCTCTTGGATTAAGTAACATAAACTTTGAATATGATAAATCGCCAAAAAAAGATTTATTTCATCTACAATCACCTGATATTGATTCAAAAAATAGAAAAAGTAGCTCAGGAGCATTAAAGAAATTGAAAATGAATAAAACAGGTGTCATAAACCATTGTCATTCAGAAAATGATGTTGCATCGACAAATAATGTAGAGTTGTTAAATGTCGCATCGGTAAATAATACTGCAATAAAAAATATTGCATCACTAAAATTAGAGAAAGAGTTTAACTCCCCTATGAATACAGAAGGGTTTGTTAATAGTCTCATCAGAACTCCTATATCAATGTTTAAGAAAAAAGAAGGCATCCCTCAAGAAATGTTATTTATCTCTCCAAATATAAATAAAAAAAATATAACTCCTAATCCAAAAAACTTTTTTAGTATGAATGAAGATCCAGTGGCACAAAGAATTAATTCTCCGCTTAGAATAGAAAGTGCTCCAAACCCAAAAGTTTCTGATAGTGTTGAAAACTTTACAAAACTTGTGGCAACTGAAGAGGCTATTTTTACAAGTTCTCTAAATAAATGGAACAAAATACTTGAAAATGGAGTACCTGAAGAAGGTAAATAATTTTATATTTGGAATCTTTTCACCTTAAGAAGGGAATAGAATTTTTATTTTTAAGAAACTACTATATATTATGTACAATATTGGAAGATATTTTTGCTAAAAGATAAAAATTTTTTTGCAGGTTTTATTTTTGCCTTCTTGAATACAAAAATTGGCAAAAGCTCTGCAACAGTCAATAATTATTGATGAGTTCACATATATTCTCATATATTCAAAATATGTGTTTACCAGTAAAATAGGTTTTTTGCAAAATTTTTGAAATTTATTTTTTAGTTATTAATATATTGATATTTGGATCTAAAATTGGGGAAATAAATCCCACCAAAATTTCTTCAGCAAAAATATCTTCCATTAAGATACAATATAAATAAATGCAGTGGCTTTGAAGCTCAAACTTTGCAGCTTTTCATTAGTTCTCTTATAAAACAACCTCTCTGCTGTCCTCTTTTTGATTTGAGTTTTACAGTCTTCTTTAGTTGAATTTGAAAAGGTTCACCAGTTTCCAGATCAGTTGTAAGTTATACTAGTTGGTTGATAACAAACTTCCAGTTTTTATCTTGAATTTTCCCAAAACTTCTTTTTCAGGAATAAGGCCTTCACTTCACAAACTTTCCTTTACATACTTTTATTGCTTTAAAGTAAATAAGTTGTTGTTGTGGTTCATTCTTTGCTTGCTTTAATGTTGTGAGTTTTTCTATTATAAGAATATTATAAATATTAGAATGTTTTCAATTTTTTGAGGTTATCAAGTGAGTTTTTACAAGTAAAAGTAAAATCCCTCTGTTGGCATACAGGTATTCCATAATTGCAATGTTGTCCATCATTGCAAGTATTTTGTTTACATACTTCACTTCACAAATCCTTCTGTTGGCATACAGATACTCCATAATTGAAATGTTGTCCATCATTGCAAGTATTTTGTTAACATCACTTCACAAACTTTTACATACTTTAGTCACTTTAAAGTGAATAAGTTATTATTTTAAGCTAATGTTGTTGTGAGTTTTTCCTTTATAAGAATATTATGCGTAACTGCTGGTTGCTGAAATTCTTTACCAAGATAGCTTATTGGTTGATCATTTATCTATTTCTAACTTTGAGTAACTCAGTAAGGCTTTTATTATGTTCTTTAAAAGACTTCTTGAAACCTACTAATCATTTTTAAAAAATTCACCTTGCCATATATCATTAAATAAATTAGTTTTTTTAATTCAGTTTTGTTTTGCAATTGCTTACAAATTGTTTTGTTTGCAATTGCTTGCCTTTAAAGATTTCCTTAAAAGAAACTCTATCAATTTGATAGATTTTCTGCATTAGTTTAGGACTTCTTTTCCAAGTAAGGCTTATTCATTCTTTTTCAATAGATGTTACTTATAATAATTCTTTAATGCTTGGTTACCCAACTTTTAAGTTTTCCCAGAAGTTTCTTATTCGTGTTATTTTTTACTCATAGTCATCTGGATATTGTATAGTGAGTATTTCTTTGAGATTGCACAATTATTCAGTCACTGTTTTTAACTTATGTGACTGTTTTTACCATTTTTCTTTGTATATTAAAGAATATTATACTATATATTGTATATTATTATATATCACTATCACAGTTTATCAGTTAATTTTAAATACTTAGGATTTTTACTTTTTTAACTCCTTAATTTGTCAATTTGGTAAATATATCATTCAATTGTGGGTTTGGATAATATGTCAAAATGTTCTTTTTAGCATTGGTACACTTAATGTTGATAACATGTTTGGTTTTATGTTTATTAAATACAACTCAATTCTTTTGGTTACCAACTCATACATTTGTTTAATACTTATTTTGTAACATACTAGTTTCAACCCATGTTCAGTATATTGTCTCTATGTTTTAGTATTCTCTTATTTAACAATAAAAAAAAAAAATTGTTTTTTTACAACTGTTAAACTTAAACTAATTTATTCTCATTGTTATTTATTAATTGTTTTCTCCTTTTGTGTCATAGTTATTTATTAATTGATTTTGTCTCCTTTTGTGTCATAGTTATTTATTACTTGATTTTGTCTCCTTTTATCTAATTGTTATTTATTACTTGTTGTCATCTTTCGTGTCATTGTTATTTATTTGTTGTTATTGTCTACTTTTGTGTCATTGTTATTTATTACTTGTTATGTCATTGTTATTTATTACTTGTTGCTGTTTCCTTTGTGTCATTGAATATTACTGAAATTTTACCGGCTGTATTCCATATTCTAACATTCAGGTAGTTTTTTTCGTTTCTGGCTGCAATTTTTAAAAAAATCACTCTTGTTTACATTGCTGTTGTCACATAGTTTCCTACTTCTGTGTTATTTTTGTGTTATTTCTTCCTCTAACAGTTTTTATTGTTGTATTGTCAGAAGCTTCCTAATCGCTAATTACTTTACATACAAGTTTATGACAAGGTTCAATATCTTTGATTTCTCCATTGTTAATTGATTGTATTTTTTCTTCTAGTTTTATATTTGAAAATTTAAAATATTGATCATATTTTATTAATGTAACCATATTTACTGTTTAGATAAAAATAAGGTAATTTGTAAAATTACCTTATTTTTATCTAACCTAAAAATAAGGTAATTTGTAATCTATAAATCAAATAAATATTTATTCTCAACATGTTTATGAATAAAAATTGATATTATGGCAGGCATACTAATTGCTTTTAGTACAAGGAGATATTTTGGCAGCAATTGGACAAGCCCAACTCTTTACACAAAAACGATTTAAACAATTTAAAGAACTTATTGAATTGCACAAGGTGAAATTGTTTTCTAATGAATTTAACATAGAAATACTATAAATAATGAATTTTTAACGTATTTGTAGAGGTTAAAAATTTTTATCATTGCAGTTTTTTATCTTTCCATAAAAATATATATATGTATAAATATATATATATATATATATATATATATATATATATATATATATATATATATATATATATATATATATATATATATATATATATATATATATATATTTAGGATAAAAATGCTGAAAAAGTTGCACTTGCTTCTGATTTAGATGGATTTTGGGATATGATTTACTTTCAGGTTGTAATATTTCAAAGTATTTTTGATAAAATGTTTTCATAACATGTTTTTTTCTTTTTTTATAACTTGATTGTGACATTAGACTAGTTGTAGTGCATTCAGCAAAACAAAATAAAATTATTAAATTATAATATAAGGCATAAATCAATATAAACATTAGCAATAGTAGACTAGTGATAGAACACATCTTCAAGTGAATAAAATATTATATTTTAGTAGACTAGTGATAGAACACATCTTCAAGTGAATATAATATTATATTTTAGTTGACTAGTGATAGAACACATCTTCAAGTGAATAAAATATATTTTAGTAGACTAGTGATAGAACACATCTTCAAGTAAAAAAAACATTCAAAATTAAAATTTTTCAACATTTTTTTTTTTTTTTTTTTTTGTGTAGCTTCTTCTTAACAAGTTTTATGTTTTGGAGTTAAGGTTAGAGAGTTGCAAAAAAACTAAAAAAAAACAAACTGCTGTGTCTCACTGAGAAAAGTGAATTCATTTAAAATAAAAAACTTATAGTAGAGAGTTGATAATCTTTGTTACTATTGTAAATAGGTCAAGGATGTTCATAAAAGGTTTAGTGAGTTGGATGTTCTAGAAAAAAACAACTGGCAAAAAGAAATATGCCATCAAAATGAACAAAAAGAAAAACCTATTAACAAAAAGAAACATGCCATTAAGGTTTAATTTTTAACTTAATAATTTTATTCTTTTATACTTTTGTATGTATTCAAAATCCTAATCTTTTTTTTGCAATTTATGATGGTTTTATATAATGGTGTGTAAATGTGTGTGTGTGTGTGTGTGTGTGTGTGTGTGTGTGTGTGTGTGTGTGTGTGTGTGTGTGTGTGTGTGTGTGTGTGTGTGTGTGTGTGTGTGTGTGTGTGTGTGTGTGTGTGTGTGTGTGTGTGTGTGTGTGTGTGTGTGTGTGTGTGTGTGTGTGTGTGTGTGTGTGTGTGTATATATATATATATATATATATATATATATATATATATATATACATATATATATTCTTACTTCTCTTTAAAAACCTTAAATATCCTTTAAAAAAGTTATAATTTGACTGCTCTCCTTAATTTCTCCTTCTTTTTTTTTTTAGAAAATTTTATAAATATATATATATTATATATATATATTAATTTATAATAATTTTCCTAATATTAAAATTATAATAATTTTCCTAATATATTAATTTATAATAATTTTCCTAATATTAAAATAATTATATCTTAAATCTCCTTAAAATCCTTACCTTTAGCCTCAGTTTTAATAGTGTGAACTGTGTGTGTGTGTGTGTGTGTGTATATATATATATATATATATATATATATATATATATATATATATATATATATATATATATATATATATATATATATATATATATATATATATATATATATATATATATATATATATATATATAAATTTGTTTTGTAAATAAATTTTTCTTCAGAAGAATATACAACCTAATGTTATAAATAAAGATAAAAAACGTACTGATTTCCGGCAGTTTAGACAACAAATGATGCTTAAGAGCCAAGAAAACAAGGTTTTTATTTTCTGTTTTGAATATGAAATATATAATAAATTCCTTTCCAAATTTAAATATGAAATATATGTTTAAATGTTTAGCTCTGTTATTTACTATAAAATATTTATAATTATAGTGAAAAACATGCTTTTTATAATTATTCGTCATTAGTAATTGTCATTCTGTATTTAAAAAATTGAGTTATTTTTTAAAATTTAAATATGAAGGTAGATACAGTCTTTAATGAATTGGACCCACTTTCGTTTAATTCAATGAGCAAAGATAAAAATTATGATGCTGTTGTAGTTAATGATGAATTCTCTGCAGATTCCTTGGAAGAAACATCTCCAGATAAGCATTTAATTCTAAACAAAGAAAATTGTATTCCATTAAGCAATTTAAGACGGTCTACTAGAAAAACTCCTTCAAAGTATCGTTTTATTGAATCTCAGAAGATGGTAAATTATTATTTTAAAGCTTTATTTCAGATTGAAGTTTTTTTTTCCTTTTGTTAAAATTAATTTTCATGTTCATATTTAAATGCAGACACCAAAAAGTGTGGCATGCAAGTTGTTTACTGGTAGCATAGCAAGACATGATTTGCAACCTGTAAGTATGAATCAATATTTCAATAGTTGTATTTTATTATTGAAAAGAAAAGGAAAAATTCTTCTTTATGTATTACAAATTATAACAGCATAAAATGGTTTTTCAACTTGTTACAAGATTTGTAATTTTTGTAATGATTTGTAATCTATCACAATTGGTAAATTTATTAAATAGTAATAATTTATAACACATCACATTGGCAAATCTATTGAATAACATCATGATGAAATAATTATTATATGTAAATTATCCACCCCGACTGTTTTTATTTTGTGAATCCATTTAATACTGTTAATTAAAATAATGACATCCAATTAAAATTTTTAAACACATTTCTAATATCTTATATAACAAGTATCTAATTTAGGTGTTATATATATATATATATATATATATATATATATATATATATATATATATATATATATATATATATATATATATATATGGTCAATTCCATACATCACGCATGTCACTTTTCAGATGTATATAAGCTGAAATTTTATAATAATAAAAAAAAAAGCACTATTAGATGCATAAATCTGTTGCCAAACATGACTTTTACAACATAAAAACATAAATTCTTAATTTTAAGTATGTAAAACATTTAATTTATACATATAATGATGGTCACGCATGTCACTTGAATTGGACAAGTCATAATTTCATCATCAAAAAACACTAATTTCCTGAGCCGTTATAAACACTATCTGTGTCATTTTTAAACGCAATATACTTGAATCTATAACAAAACGGAAAATATTAAAAAAAAACACCAGAATGTGTAGTACATGAAAGTGGTAATACATTTTCCAAAATTGTGTACTTCACGCACGTCACATTTGTATCTATCACGCACATCACATTTCAGATAAAAATGCAATATAATTTATTGTTACAGTTATAATTAATTGTTTGCAAGTCTTATGTTATAATTGTCCCACAAAATTATTAGCAAAATTTCATTGATGATTCCATTAAATTTAACAAAGTAGTATACATATATGAAACGTTTAGGAAAAAGTTTATGCTTGCTTTACAAGCAAATAAACAACACAAAAAACACAAAAACAAATCAGCGCAAATCAGGAATTGATGATAAATCATCAGAAAAGTTATAGATTGTACCACGTATTACTTTTGGAATTACAAGTGTCTTAACAATGTCACTAATGGAGAAAATAGATATGTCATCAACAGAAGGATACACAAATTACTGTATTGAAGTTCCATGACGCCTCATACACTGGATGTGCCAGTTATCAGGTGTTTTATGCACACCAGAGACCACACTGCCCACATAATGAACATATTTGTCCAGAGCCTTGCCTCGGGACTTAACAAGCACTCGAACTACCAATAATCACCATTTTCAATACCTCTTTGAGAGAACTGAGGCAGCTGTGGAATTTCATCATCTGTATCATCTTAAAAGAGGTCTGCAGATGGTTTTAAGGTAAATGAATTTCCGGCTCTGGTTGTTGTACTTTTAATGAAGCTTTGTGCATTAGTTGAAGAGTTGACCTAATTTAAAAAATATAAAATATGATAAAATGCATCAAAATATTTTAAATGAATAAATAAATTGCTATAATATTTTGTATTGTAAATAAATTCAACTTCATAGATGTTTTGGACAATTTTTTATAAATAAACAAAATAAAATAATTTGTTTTATAATTACAACTAACATATATGATTGGAATATTTGAGTACATACCTCAGAATCCAAGTCAAGCAAGTCACACTCATACTGGAGTTGAGGTGGATGAACATGAAAACGTCTGACACCTTTATCATCACAGTCCCAATGATGATCATTAGATTTTAAATGCACTTTTTTGGCTGATAAAAACACACAATTACCATCTAACAATTCAAGTGTACTTTCTTCGTCAACTGGGCTTGAGAGAATAACATGTATATTTGTCTCTGTTACTCTGAGAACTGTCACAAAATACTTTGCATTAAGAACACATTGAGTATTTCGTGTCATTAATGCACACCACACCAAGCGTTTGGCTGTTCCACCAATGCCATCAACAGCCCCTTTTCCATGCGAGGTAGCAAAAAATGACCACCTGAGTCATTCAAGGTGAAAAGCTGCCCTAATATTGTTGAGCAATGCAAACATATTTGTTTTTCATTTGTGAAGCTGGTCCATCGCTGAAGATGTCAAAATGCTTGCAAGCGGAGTTGGTTTGAAAGTAAGTTTTAAACACCATTACAATCGAAGCTGTCACTGTGTTTTTGTCATGAGTGATGTTATCAGAAATCACAACAAAGGAATGAGGAGATTGAGATGTGCCATCCCAAAGACAAGCTGTAAACAGAGATATCTGGCTTTGCATCCAGTGAGCTGGCTGAATTTCATCTTGCTATTGACAAGTATAATTTTCAGCAAAGTCAATTCGTAGCAATATATTTCTTTGAGATGAATTTAATCTGAGATGATTGTACAGACCAGCTTGTTTCCGCTTTATGTAATGATGACAAATAAAATTGGGCAACTGACGCCTGAACTCCTGCAGAAATAAGACAACACAATTGCAACTTAAATACTATGTTACATTCGATTCTTTTCTAATATATAGTGGCATAAATGAAATATTAAATGCATTCTTAGCAAAATCTTTTTAATATTTCATTTATTGAGAGCATGTAATTTGTTAAAATATTAACATTTGATGCATATATAATATGGCTTTACTCACCTCAAGAAGGCTAATTAACGACTGAGTCACGGTCACCTTAACAAATTGTTCTCCGCCAAGAAGCTCATTTGTCGTTTTCTGCCACTGACTAATGCTGACCATTATTTCTTCATTTTCGACTGCAAGGTGCTGAAAAGATGCAGCATTTTGGCAGAATGTGCATTCATTGAAGAAGCACTTTTCTGATGGGTTGATACATAAAGTATTCTTTATGATAATGAGTGGACTTCCGTCCACTCATTATCATAAAGAGGAATGGATTCAAAGTATGGTGCTAACACATTCACTACATGTATAAAGTTGTAGTGAATAGAACAGACACAGACATTGTGAGGTGTCTCAGCACAGAGTAAAACATGTTTCAGATGTAAACTAGCAAATTTTGATTTTCCAATTTTTTCATTTTTGTACGACTGTTGAAACTGCTTGTGAGCCTCTCTTAATGCTAGCTGAAGATGTCTCTGAAAAACATGCATATGTATGAAAATATATAACATGTAAAACAATGTGTTCTTAAGTTAATTATCTCATAATCATGTAGCCAATTAACTTATCTTATCCTCAATTTTATCTACCCCTATACAGTTCCTATAAAAGTTACTTCATTATATAAATATATCGTTATACTTGGTATATTATTATGTAATAAAATGAATATATACCTTTTAAATTAATTTGTCACCATCTTTAACAAAGTCTCTTTGTCCTGGTGCCATTCTTGAGATATCATCCTTTTGAAAAAAATTTATCACAAGCTCTACCACATCAGGAGACAAAGCAGTTGAACGGTGTGACACAGTAAGATTGCTGGGAGACTTTCCTAATAAGTGTTGACAAACATTATGCTTGACAAATGCACGTTTCCTTGGAGAATGAGGCATTGTTGAATTGACTTGTTGAATTGAATTGTTGAATAAAACTCTATTGATGGCACGTTTCTCAGCACTCTTTGTCTTGAATGGAGTTTCTTCATGTGCTTCTATTGACTCTTTCAATGCTTTTTGTCTTTGTCTATATGCTCGCGTCCTTAATTTATCTTGTTCACGCTTCTTATTCTGCTCCTCCTCATTGTAATTTGCTCTGTCTCTTTTTGCTCTCTTTCTTTGCTCCTATACTCTTCATTTCGTCCTCTATATTCCTTTTGGAGTTGAAATTTTGTTTTTCCCATTATTACTGTAAAGAAACGAAACAATTTTAAAATTTAATTGTGGTAGTCTAAATTAAAAAAAAAACAATTTTTAAACATATGCTATACACATAAAATTGTTTTACTTTCAGAAAAAAATACATTTCAATTTGTAATATAAGATAAAATCAGCACAAATGGAAACAAATATATGTAACCACTATTTAAATAATTAAAATTTAATTTAGGTCTATACTTAATTAACATTTTTCCTTAAGATTTAGCAATCATGCACGTTACAGATAAAAAATGGTGACGCACGTGATATAAAAGTTCATGCACGTCACCACTTATAAAAATAATATACAATAAAAAATAAAATCATATAATCAAGTTTTTTAAACATAATTACAATTATATGATGCTGACTTTAGTTTTAGAAAAGAATGATATCTTAATTCATCTTAATATAAAAATACATAAAAAGAGTTTTAAAAAATAATCACACACCTCACATTAAAAATAAAAATATAAAATAAATGAGTTACTTACACTTAGTGAAGATGTTGTCAATCAGAGTGTTAAAACATGTTCACTGTACAACGTCACAAATAAAACAAAAAATGAGCTTTGGTTTTGACCTTTCACTTTAAATATACAAACAAACCCGATTTGCACAATTTTGTAATATTAGTTATGAAAAATATCACATTGTTATAAATAGCTAAAAAATATATTATTCATGGCAAATATATTATGATATTCTATATAACATTAGTTAAATACAACAGAAATCGAAAAAGAAAACAAAAAAGACCCAAACTATTAGTTAACTTTTTACTCATAATGTCCTGATTTTGTGGAATTGACAATATATAAATATATATATATATATATATATATATATATATATATATATATATATATATATATATATATATATATATATACATGTGTGTTGGAAGTTACTGGAAGAGAAAAGATGAAGGTTGTAGAGCAAGATAATGATTGACAGATGACTTTAAAGATTGCAAATTATATGAATCAAGAAAGTAAGATGAAAGAAGCAAATTCCAAAGAACTGATGTTCGAGGGAAAAAACTAGACGAATAAGAGTTTTTGGAGCACTTAGGAACAGTAACAGAAAAAGGGTGAGACTT